CTCATATACGTGTATGAATTGATCTGTGAAGAAATATGAAAGGTAATATAGGGTAAAAATGGTAATAGAGGAATTTTGCATAATTGCAGAATTTTGCAGAATTTTTTATGAACGTTTGCGGAATTTAGCGGAATAGTTATGAACTCAAATGGTAATAGCTGAATCTTGCGGAATGTTGCAGAATTTTTAAAATATATAAATTATTGAAATTTATAAAAACAAAGAACAATTACAAAATGTCAGTTTCGGTATACTACTTTTCAAAAATGCTACAATGGATTGTCCATTTACAAAAAAGTCACTAATTATGAATTTTTAAAATTTAGATCGTAAAATTGTAAACTCTAAAAATGTTTTTAACCCCTTACAAACCCTAAACCCTCAAGACTAAAATATAATAGAACATAATTAATCCAAACATAAATAATATAATGAATAGATTATTTTGAAAAAGCACCATTTTCGTAAAATTTTTGAAAAAATAGCATTTTTTATAAACGGCATTTCAAAAGTGGCATTGCTCATATGTATTTTATAAATTACCACTTATATGATTTTATAATATTAATAATTTATACAACATATGTTTCACATAAATAATATTAAAATAAAAGTAAAACGCTGGGTATATGTGAATATTCTAGTGTTTATTATCTTTAAAACAAATTCTGCATATTTTGTCTTTTAGTGTTCTCAACATTCTATTAAATCAAATGGTAACAAAACAAAAAAATTCCACACAATTCCTCAAATTTACATACACCAGTTAGGCCATAGTATATAGAGAAATTTTAAAAAATGTCACTTTTCAAGTGCCACTTTACAAAAATACCATACTTTTGAAATCTTTACAAAAATGCCACTTTTTCAAAATTATTTTTTTTTTATATTATTTATGTTTGGGTTAATTATGTTCTATTATGGTTTAGTTTTGAGTGTTTAGGGGATTTTAGGTGTCAAAACATTTTTTAGGGTTTAGAATTTGAAGATATAGGTTTTATAAATCTATAATTAGTGAC